GCCGGTTCTTACAGAAGTACAGAAAGAACCTTAGTGTGGGTCTGTCAAAGCTGAAACAATCATTGTTTGCCTGGTGGCAGTTTCAAAAAATCTCCTGAATTTGTCGGTAGGCAAACTTAATTCATCCGATGCTAAGAATTTCAGAAAACATGGATCAGCCCATAGATTTCCGGACCAGAACGAAAACGAGACGATCACGCATTACATTCAGTCCGCAACAGGTATTCCGGGCCTACTCATATTCCGATGCTTTGCCTACTTTTCACAGTCAGCAATGATTTTTAGCTTCATGTGCTCGAATCAGTGTTTCTCACCCTCCCATATCCAGATGTTACAGCACGTGAAAAACTTGCCTCATTACTATCAATTTCTGAAGCGAGAATCCAGGTAAGACAACTATATTGAAAATGTTTTAATGGCAATTTTAACGTTCACTTTTAGGTGTGGTTTCAAAATCGCCGGGCAAAATCACACAGAGACAAACGAACGATGAACCAATGCGGCCAGTGCCATCATCCATCCCTACTCTACCCTGAACGATATAGCCACCTCAATGCAGTCGTTCCGGAAAATACAGTATCCGAAAATCATACTGAGGCAGATTTGCCTATGGATTTATCGTTGAAATGTTTGAATGGTGTAGAATCTTCTAGTTAACACGAAGATCGCAATTTCAATTATATAATACATAAGCGATCCATTTGAAATAATGTTTTGTTTTGCAACTAAAGACACAGTTCATGTAATAGTTCAATGTCGAAGTATCCACTTTTTGACGATTGACCGAAGTCGCAGCTCAGCATCGTGCAAAAAGGGCAAAGAAATTTTGAAAATCGACGCATTTCGAGAAACATACGACTTCGAAATACTAGTCCTTTTAGGGGTTGGCGGGGAATATGACGACAAAACTTGCACAGCTGTGGTATTTGGACGAGCTGTCCAAACGTGTGTGTCATTGCTTACAGCTGGCTACAGTAAGCTTCCTGGGTGGAAGGTGAGGGTCTCGGTGCAATTTATGGGAC